CGTCAACAATTTTACTTCGTTCATTTAAACAATCAAAGTACAAGGGAAGTGAACTAGACATCCTCTAGAAAAGCTACAACATAATTGAGAAGCAATAAAATATAAAGCAGATAGATCATCGCAAATGATGGACAGCGAATCCAAAGCATGCTTCGGATGCGTCAAGAATGTCTTCGCGGCAAAGCCGGAGAGTTTCAGGTTTGTCAATTTACCATGTGATTTTGAAGTTCCCGGCATTAAGCGCGGGGGTTCGACCATTCTCCATGAGAGGAAATAAGATACGACCATGCTCAAAGAGATGGAAGAGGGTGGAAATGAACTCTTCCCCCGAGAATAAATTACAAAGTTTGAGAACCCAGAAAACTTATGTCTTCTCTCAATAGAAGATATATAATCACTAAAAACTACACGATTTGAGAATCCAGAAAACTTTGTACTTCTTAAAGGAGAACAACCAATGAACTCACAAGCATATATAATTTTTGCAAATCTAGTTTTTAAAACAATTGGGCCTAAATTTAGGCATGGGTAAGGTTTAGGCAGTAGGCCATGAAATGGGCTGGGCAATAATAGATTTATATTGGGTCTGACCTTTTTGTGCATTGAGCCCAAATGAAAGTAGGGCATCAGTGTTTTGCAACGAGGGAGGAGGAGCGGTGGAGGGTCAAGGAGATGGATCGACGGTGAGGAGAGTAGGGCCGCACGTGACATCGGAGACCAGTCAGATCCCGTATCAGTGAGCAGATTTCTCAGCTTTGAAGATTGTGTGCGGAGGATTCCCGATGATGGCTTAATCTGTGGTGGGCTTAACGTGTTATGTTATCAGATCGAAGAGGCGACATGTCGATAGTAAACATAGTAATGGTCCTTCGGGACTCGCCCGAGAGATTTCTATATCCGCCGGTTCTTGAAAGATGGCTCTGCCATGTCGGATTATGTTCGGTGGTGATTAGAGAACCGACGGCAGAGCATATAGTGAAAATCGTCTTCTCCATGTTTGCCGATGTGAAGCTCAAAAAGCACAATATAGAGAAGTCGATAGTAAGATGGAGAAGTGGAGCGATGGTTGCAAGATTGTCGGCGCCAATGTGGAAAGGTCTTCGGTTTAACACCGAGAAAATCTCCGGACCAGAGATAGGAGGTTGATCAACGGCTGTTGCCAGAGGCCTATCTCGGTAAGGCGAGGTAAACACCCCAGTCCCAAAAACCCCAGTCCCAAAAGACGTGGTCTTCCTCCTCATATGGTTGCCGGAGTAAGAGCAAAACAAGCCAACAAAATAAAATACACCATAACCTTCGAACAAAGGCAGAGGAAGCGATTAGTAAGAGCGACGGTCCGACGCCGGCGAGCCTCGGCTTCACCGGCGTCGACTGGTGAGATTTGAGTACCTCGATTCCTGTGTTTCGGAGAGAAAAAGCGGCTAGGGCGAACGAAGATGAGGAGGAACGATTATACTCCTTAGTTTTAAATTCTTATTATATAAATTTTGGCACCCCAAAAGAGAGAGACTTAACCATAAAAATAAGTACTTTCATTCTTGTCAAGAACAAGTTGTAACATAAAGCTGATGTTGATGATATACACGAGTACTGTTACTATAAAGAATGGAAGTAGTGGCCATTCATGGAAGAAAATATCAAGAAAACAAAGAGAACACCATCTCTTTGTTTAAAGAAGGGGAAAAATGATAGTGTCGCAATGTTGCTTTAAAGGGTTATAGATTTGGCTGATTTAGTAATCAACTATTGACATGCCTGCAAAGATTGAAAACAAAGGTCAGTCTGGTAAAACTTTGATAGCAATTACGTTTATAAACAAGTACCAAAGCGAAACCTCTATTTGAAACACTTGCTACAAGAAACTAAACAGAGAATCCCGCACTGTCCTGACAGAGCCGAATATTTTAACTGAAGAAAAGCATAGACCATTGCTAATGCAAGTGGTGTCAAATGGTTGTGCTTATATTGTGGCGGTCTCGGACAATCGTATTCGAGATTGTCCAAAACTAGAGCATCATAAGAGCGTGCAATATCTAACTCGAGCAAAAAAAAAAAACTATTTCGGGCTCAGGATGCATTTCCTTTTCATTATTTGTTCTTATTATTCAAAAGTTGCAATATGTAAAAAGGACAAATATAAACCATAATGTTTTTATTTTTATTTTTATAACCTCGAAGTTCAGAGTTT